AATAGTAAGTGTATTAGGATGGGGGGGGGGGGGGTTAACTTCCAATTTCCTCCACTGATGGGGGAGGTATAGCCTACTCGCAGGCTGATATTTTGAAAGGCTAGGGGAGGTATTGATGTTTTTTGGAATGACCCAACGTACTTGTGATTTTCTAATTTGGAAAGGCAAGAAAGCCTCCCATATCTAGCAGTTGCTACTTCACAAAATAGTCCATAAGTACATGACAGACATGAGAGTTGACGTTAATTTGAACAAATGTCTAGCTTCTTTAGAAGAGTTAGTATATTTCACGTATTCATTGGATATAAATTTCTGTTTTAGATGTGTGTGTGTGCAGACAGAGACAGTGTTACGTCAGGCCATTGCTGAGAGGATCAAGCCAGTTCTTTTCATGAACAAAATGGACCGTGCCTTGTTGGAGTTGCAATTAGAACAAGAAGATCTGTACCAAACCTTCCAGCGTATTGTCGAAAGTGTGAATGTAATCATTGCTACGTACAGTACTGAAGATGGAATATCCAGGTATATAGATTTGAGTTCTTCCAAATTTAAATTTCCTTCCAATTTCAAGAAAATTTACAAGTTGGCCAAGTTTCAGAAAATGGCGAGATGGTTTGACACAACAGATGTGGCTTCAGATTATATGTACTTTCAACAAATTCAATGTTGCCATTATTTGTGACCAACGCTAATTCTTTGAAATTGTCACATTTCTTGTTATTCTGACTTTCTAGCTGGAGCTAGGAGAAAGCACCGCAACTCAGGATAGATAGAAGATAGGAATTTTTATTTATACACGCTGACCCTGTCACCCGAAACTGATTTCCATGAATGGCGTGTGCCAAATTTTTTTGTGCCATTTTTTTAGATGTACTCATACAAGTGATATTTAGAGCTAATTTACAAAATATATAAGTTAAAAGATGTAGAGTATTAAAATGGTAACATATTATTGAGTATTAAAATGAGAAAGTTGGTAGACTATTTCTAATGAGAAAGCTGGTATTTTATACAGGTACATTATTTACAATACTTATTACTCACAAATAGTTAGTGTGAGCAGTGATTTTATTGTGAAAGAAAGGAAGAAAGTGATTTGCTTTCCCTAGTTTCCTTTGGAATAGAAATCCAAAGGTTTGCTCCGTTATACCATGGATTGTAAAATTTATTTTATTATCCATGGTCATACATACATGTAAAACTATTTTTCATGTTATTATAAGTATGAAATTGTGGTAAACAAAGCTAGGCTAGTTGAAATGTCTCGATATAGTTTGTTTTCTCCATTTTAATATATGATAATGACATTTAGTATTTTTGCACAAGTGAATATAACAAATCCTACAAGGTGATTGGTCAAATTTGACGTCTTAATCTGTTATATTTACCTACAGGTGAATATAACAAAATCAAAATTTTCAAAATGGCGGCTAGCAGTTTCGTTGAAGTTAGTGATAAGAAATAAGCGAAATTAAAATGAATTCAGACCAGAAAAACACAAAAGAACTTGTGCAAAAATACTAAAACAATTATTCGCCTCAGGCTCGGTGATTATCGGGGAATATTCACCTCGACTTCATCTCGGCGAATATTCCCCGATAATCACCTCGCCTTCGGCGAATAAAAATGAAAAAATTTCTCAATTCTGATTGGCTAAAAAAAGTGCAATGTTTTCGTACAGTGCCAAAAGATGAAATACAGTGCAATTGCAAATTTCATCGACTATAAGATACAGCCATTTCTAGCAGAAAATAATACAAAAACCAAAACATTTACAAGTGACAAAAATGGTTGGCGTTTTAGTAGATGTTCTATTAAAATTATTACACTGGCCGCAGCCAGTGTCATAATTTGCCCTCGCTGGAATGCGAGGAATTTTTTCGTTTTTTTTTTTGTTGTCGCAAGTGTGACTTTCCATTGCGGCATCGTGGGCTCAGGATTGCGCAATTTAGCCCCTGAGCTATAATAATATTACTGTAATATTATAGCTCAGTGAATTTAGCTATCACATTTAATACACATGCAGACATGCTCACTATGATTTATAAACCAATTCCTATATTTTGAGAAGAAAGCGACACCGTACGATTCAGCGTATAAAGAAATTGTACTTACGGATGTCAAGTGTATTACTGAACACCAGTATTCTAGCGATTTATGGCCTTTGAAAATCAAGCGAAATTGTATTGACAAATCGCTCGCAGTATGTATTGATATTTATAACAAATCACTCGCACTACGTTTGTCTTTGTATTTGTAATGTCTAATGGCGCAATAAGGATAAAAATACCACCGTTCGATTCAGCATAAGAAATTGTACTTACGGATGTCAAATGTACTACTATTTATATACTATTGAAATTTAATACAACGAAATATAGCATTCTACGTCGATAATTTCAATCATAGTTTAATAATTATTTTCGATCTATAGTAATTCACCGTTTCCAGGTTTTTTTATACCTTTACTAAAGCTACAATAAAGCTAAATTTGTAGGAAATAACATTTTTTAGTTATAAAATAGTATAAAAGAAAATCTAACAGTCAATCGCTTTCGATACAAACTTATATTACCGTCGTTGGCAACTAACGATGAACAGTCGCTCATAAAAACATTGCTTATTCGCGTGAGAATCTTAAGTTTTCTAATTTTGACATAATAGCTATTTTTCAAACAATATATTTATCTTAAACTTATTGAATCAATATTTTAAGTTTCAGATCAGTTGTACCAAAAGTTATAAGCGGTCGCGCATCATTACCAGGGCACAGGGTCGGTCATACAGAAGCCCAATTTATTGGTTTTTCTTATGGTTTTCCAATGATTTTGGCGTGACCGTAATTCATCATCAAAATGCTGACGTCATGGTCCTGGCTGGTGCGCATTTACCCCCCTGATAATATTCAAAATGATAGACGTCCAGCGGGAGGGGGGGGGGGGTGCCTCTTTGGTGCGCACTGGTTGGGACGTGGCAGCGTTTACTCTAATTACAGTCTTTCAAAACATGGTTTGGAAACACCGCTAAAGTCTTTGTTCTATCTTTTTGTTTTGCGTTTATGCAGTTTTGTGCACGGTGCACAGTCAATTATGAACACATTGTATTTCAGTATAATGAACGAATCATCCAACAGCGACGTTTCAATTCAGTCATTTAACCATGTTAGTTAAATATTAATAAACCTAAAACAAAGGATGTACATGGTTTAAGGTACGGCTCAACGGTACAGCTCATTATAACCGCTTTGAAGTTTACTGAGTTTCCAGACCATGTTTTGGACTATGCTCTAATCGACCTTCTGTGTATCTTTGTTCAGTGCCAGGGGGTAACTGCTTCTGTTTACTGTACTTGCCGACTGACAAATCATGTCAAATAGCACGTACACAGAAAACAATGGAGATGGCCATGATTTCTGTATAGTATTCTGAGTCGTGAGGTTTCATGCTTTTGATGGCATGCAACATGTACGCACTACGTACCTATTTTTTAGAATATTGCGATGGTATTTTACTGTTTTACCAACCGCTAAGGCCAGTGTGAACGCCTGAGCAGGCGTCTTGTTTATATTAAAATTACTATTTCGCGTGTGACCTACGCACGCATGTGACTGCTTGCGTAATTTTTCATGTATATTATTAACAAGTAATAGCATGGTTTCTCACATTATAAAACGTTTGCAACGTACAGGGGACTCGTAGTCATTGTTCGATTATATTGAAAAGCGCCATTCCTTCAGCCGGATGGACGCACAAGTTACACGTGGTTGCTGTTTCACTTTTAAAGTTCGTCCAATTTTATCAACCTTCTAAGCGTTTTAAAAGAAAGCCAGAAAGTATAGTAATAATATTTTGTCGTATTGATATTTGTAAGCCATAAGGCATGATCTTTTTAATAACAGCTAGATAGTACATCATAATCAGCCGGGGGCAGTTTTAGTGTAAACTATTTCTAGTTTAATAGGGCGCATTGCCATTGGAGCACAGGGACTCATAGTCATTGTTCCAAATATATTGAAAAGCGCCATTCCTTCAGCCGGATGGACGTACAAGTTACACGTGGTTACTGTTTCACTTTTAAAGTTCGTCCAATTTTATCAACCTTCTAAGCGTTTTAAAAGAAAGCCAGAAAGTAGTAATAATATTTTGTCGTATTGATATTTGTAAGCCATAAGGCATGATCTTTTTAATAACAGCTAGATAGTACACCATAATCAGCCGGGGGCAGTTTTAGTGTAAACTATTTCTAGTTTAATAGGGCGCATTGCCATTGGAGCACAGGGACTCATAGTCATTGTTCCAAATATATTGAAAAGCGCCATTCCTTCAGCCGGATGGACGTACAAGTTACACGTGGTTACTGTTTCACTTTTAAAGTTCGTCCAATTTTATCAACCTTCTAAGCGTTTTAAAAGAAAGCCAGAAAGTAGTAATAATATTTTGTCGTATTGATATTTGTAAGCCATAAGGCATGATCTTTTTAATAACAGCTAGATAGTACACCATAATCAGCCGGGGGCAGTTTTAGTGTAAACTATTTCTAGTTTAATAGGGCGCATTGCCATTGGAGCACAGGGACTCATAGTCATTGTTCCAAATATATTGAAAAGCGCCATTCCTTCAGCCGGATGGACGTACAAGTTACACGTGGTTACTGTTTCACTTTTAAAGTTCGTCCAATTTTATCAACCTTCTAAGCGTTTTAAAAGAAAGCCAGAAAGTAGTAATAATATTTTGTCGTATTGATATTTGTAAGCCATAAGGCATGATCTTTTTAATAACAGCTAGATAGTACACCATAATCAGCCGGGGGCAGTTTTAGTGTAAACTATTTCTAGTTTAATAGGGCGCATTGCCATTGGAGCACAGGGACTCATAGTCATTGTTCCAAATATATTGAAAAGCGCCATTCCTTCAGCCGGATGGACGTACAAGTTACACGTGGTTACTGTTTCACTTTTAAAGTTCGTCCAATTTTATCAACCTTCTAAGCGTTTTAAAAGAAAGCCAGAAAGTAGTAATAATATTTTGTCGTATTGATATTTGTAAGCCATAAGGCATGATCTTTTTAATAACAGCTAGATAGTACACCATAATCAGCCGGGGGCAGTTTTAGTGTAAACTATTTCTAGTTTAGTAGGGTGCATTGCCATTGGGGCACAATGCAAGTCAGTGACAGTGGGATAATAACATAGTATTTACCTAAATAAACAGAGCACTGTTATACGACTTTTCCGCTTAGCTCGTAGCCTGCTCACAGACGTTGTAGTTCTTACGCCAAGCGATTTCGTCGCTTGGCGTAAGAACTACAACGTATGTGAGCAGGCTAGATATACTTTCCCGATTGATTGTTTGTCATTGTTAACAAAAATTTAAATTTCGCCTACTGCACTGCTTTAGCACTTTATATACACCGATTGTTTGCTGAACAT